GCGCAACAACTACGCAGACAACCGTACAGCCAATGGCCAATCAGAAGCCTCCGTGTGTTTAAGCTAATGCGCCATGCTCAATATATGACTTAGCTTCCTCTGGGTTCATTTCTAATAGCGCGTTCTTTGTGAATAGACGTGATCTTGGTAATTCGTGTAATTTTTCTTCCTCTTGTGGTAACATAGTTGATTTCGGGAGAGATACCTAGTAGGAGATCTACTACAGAGATTTTTGTGTTAGTAAGAAATTCCGAACTCAAGTTCTTGGTGGACACCGGATCCGAGGTTAGCTTTATCACTCACCGGAACTTTCCTTCAAGCAGCCATTAGTACTCAAATCCCCATCTTCGGACGGAAATTCCTTAATCTGGCTCTGGGCATTCGTCGTGAGTTCCCATTTGTATTCCTGACCACAGACTTCCGAAAGCCCATCATCGGTGCTGATTTCCTTTCCAAATTCCAACTTCTGGTCAATCTCAGAAATAGCGCGCTCTAGGATAATTTCACACTTCTACGGGTGGTTAGTTCTTCCTAGGCCTTAGATTCTTTCGATCTGAATGTTCTCGTCTCCGTTGATAACCTCTTCGCTATCATCTTATCAGCATTTTCCTCCATCTTCTGCCTGCAGCCGGAGGTTTTGGATGCAAAATATACTGTTCGTCATCACATAAATACCAAAGGGCAACCAGTTTTTGCTAGGGCTCTGCGACTAAACAGATACTTCAACATATGGTACCCTTAGGCATCGTTCCCCATTCAAACAGTCTATGGTCTTCTCCTTTGCACATGGTCGCGAAGAAAACCGGTGACTTGAGACCATGTGGAGACTACCGTGCTCTAAACCAGATTACTATCCCAGATCGTTATTCGATGCCTCCCCCCCTCCCATCCACGATTTTTCACTGCAGTTACATGGCAAGGTCATCTTTACCAAGCTCGATCTCGTGTGAGCATATTACCAGATTCCCATGGCCTCAGAAGATATCGCTAAGACGGCTGTTATCACACCATTCGGATTTGTCGAATTCCTCCACATGCCTTTTGGTCTACATAACGCAGCCTAATCATTACAGCGATTTATGGACCAAGTTAGACCTCGTATTTGCACATATTGGCGATGTTCTCATTGCAAGCTCAAACCCTGAGAAGCACAAACAACATCAGCAACAGACGTTTAAAGGCCATCAGCATTGCGAAATCACTATTAACCTGAGAAGTGCAAATTCGGTCAAGCTGAAATCGATTTTCTGGATCATCGCAAAAAGAGTTGTAGAATCGCACCCTTATCCGAGAAGACTCGTTCAATATTAGACCACCATGTTCCCCAAACTGTGGGAAGTTTGCGTCGTTTCCTAGGCGTCGCGAATTATTGTGAACATTTCGTTCCAAATTGTGCCAAGATACTCAAGCCTCTAACGGATTTGCTCAAGGTTAAACCGAAGCATTTGAAGATGACACCGTAGGCCGAATTCGCGTTCTCGCTAATGAAAGAACAGCTATCTGCAGCGACTACGTTGAATCCTCTCGATACCCCACGTGGAGCTCACGTTACTTTGAAGATCGACGTATCCAAAGTGGCAGTGGGAGCAGTCTTGCCACAGTTGGCCAAGGATGAAATGTGGCGCATTCGATCGAGAACTGCTCGCTATCTGTCTAGCAGTGAAGCACTTCCGCCATATATTGGAGGGACGGCAGTTCACCATTTTAACTGGCCATAAATCCTTAATTTATGTTTTTCGGGCCACGGCGGATCATCACTCTCCTAAGGAGACTCGTAAGTTGGATTTATCTCACAATTCACTAACGACATATCGACGGTAACAGCAACGTTGTCGCCGACGCCTTGTCCCGTTTGGAAGTGAACCAAATCCACATATCCTTTGTTCTCTCGATCTTCAAGCCCTGGCTGCTGAACAGAGGTCAGAATCGGAGGTTATGGGAATCACAAGCAATC